GATTGTGTGTGACTGTCTAAATGATTGTGTGTGACCGTCTACATGTTCATGTGTAAATGTCTACATGATTGTGTGTTACCGTCTACATGATTGTGTGTGATCGTCTACATGTTCATGTGTAAATGTCTACATGATTGTGTGTGACTGTCTACATGATTGTGTGTGATCGTCTACATGTTCATGTGTAAATGTCTACATGATTGTGTGTGACCGTCTACATGATTGTGTGTGATCGTCTACATGTTCATGTGTAAATGTCTACATGATTGTGTGTGACTGTCTACATGATTGTGTGTGACCGTCTACATGTTCATGTGTAAATGTCTACATGATTGTGTGTGACTGTCTACATGATTGTGTGTGATCGTCTACATGTTCATGTGTAAATGTCTACATGATTGTGTGTGACTGTCTACATGATTGTGTGTGACCGTCTACATGTTCATGTGTAAATGTCTACATGATTTTGTGTGACTGTCTACATGATTGTGTGTGATCGTCTACATGTTCATGTGTAAATGTCTACATGATTGTGTGTGACTGTCTAAATGATTGTGTGTTACCGTCTACATGTTCATGTGTAAATGTCTACATGATTGTGTGTGACAGTCTACATGTTCATGTGTAAATGTCTACATGATTGTGTGTGACTGTCTACATGATTGTGTGTGACTGTCTAAATGATTGTGTGTTACCGTCTACATGTTCATGTGTAAATGTCTACATGATTGTGTGTGATCGTCTACGTGTTCATGTGTAAATGTCTACATGATTGTGTGTGACTGTCTACATGATTGTGTGTGATCGTCTACATGTTCACGTGTAAATGTCTACATGATTGTGTGTGACTGTCTACATGATTGTGTGTGACCGTCTACATGTTCACGTGTAAATGTCTACATGATTGTGTGTGACTGTCTACATGATTGTGTGTGACCGTTTTCATGGTCATGTGAAAATGTCTATATGATTGTGTGTGACCGTCTACATGGGCATGTGTAAATGTCTACATGATTGTGTGTGACCGTCTACATGGGCATGTGTAAATGTCTACATGATTGCGTGTGACCGTCTAAATGGTAATGTGAAAATGTCTACACGATTGTGTGTCACCGTCTTCATGGTCATGTGTAAATGTCTACATGATTTTGTGTGACCGTCTACATGATTGTGTCGGTCAGGTAGCCTGGTGGTTAAAGCGTTCGGTCGTCACGCCGAAGACCCGGGTTCGATTCGCGACATGGGTACAATGTGTGAAGCCCATTTCTGATGTCCCGCGCCATGATATTGCTGGAATATTGCCAAAAGCGGCGTAAAACCATACTCACACACTCACTCCATGATTGTGTGTGACCCTCCACATGGTCGTGTTTAAATGTCTACGAGTTTGTATAGAAATGTCTACTTGGTCAGAAGTGTAAATGAACGCATAATCTGTATTTCCTCTATCAATATCGGAGAGTACAAACAAGTAAATCAATTCATCAAGATCTACATGTATGTATAATAATCTGTGATTACAAATATGATGTGATAGATAGAGAATAAACTCCAGCTGCCATGCACCTATTTCTTTGCTTACTATGCTAATGACTTGAGCCCATGTGTCTACTGTCATCTCATCTACACTACGTGTAATGCATCACAACTATTACTTCGTTGTCTGTACAATCTTCTATTTTCAGATATTGATTAAGACACAGTAAATCAAATGGGATATTTCTTCCTGGCACCCGGCAGTCACAGTTCACTAACTGGTGAAGAACAACCTCGTCACATTCTTCTTCACACATCATACACATACCAGCTGTTGTTATAGGTACAATACCTGGTATAACCGGAGCATATATAGGCCAGCAGTACATGCTGTAAAGGTCACACCAATGCCACAAGGCGAAGTACAACCTCGTCACATTCTTCTTCACACATCATACACATACCAGCTGTTATAGGTACAATACCTGGTATAACCGGAGCATATATAGACCAGCAGTACATGCTGTAAAGGTCACACCAATGCCACACTCTGTATGGAGCGGGTCTTCCATGTATCACATGAAATCGTTTCAGATGTTGGCTGGTAGACACCTTCAGGTCCATAAATGTGTTTCAAGTCGAGGTGTTGTGTAACAAACAGTCCGTCTTTATCGTACCTTTGGTGGAAAATGTTCGTCAGTGAAATACGTTCAATTGAATGAGGTTTGTACTTCTTAGCAATGCCTAGTAAATCATGGATTGCAGATGCAGACAATTCTGTTTAGGTAGTCTAGTCTCATGGAACATAGGGTTGTAACAAAATAATCTGGTTTACATCTTTAGAGTCTTAAGAGGTAAGCAAGTTGAGTCTTGTCAATCACTGCTTCCATTGTCCAGAGACCAGGAGTTCGAGTAGTTACGTAAGTAGGTGATCTGTGGTTGAAGTTCCATATTGATCTGGCAAAGTAGCGTACGTTGCAGCAGGTCTAATTCATGGAGTTCTTTTGATGATGTGTTTGACCATAGTTCGCAAACATAGGAGCCGCTTTGGACAACAACACGATGCCATAGATGAATACGTGTCAGTGGATTTAGCCCTCCAGCTCTTAATCCAATAGCACCGAGAGAAGCAATGATACGTTTCGCTTTACGTAGGCTCTTGTGGTTCTCTCACTCTCTTTATGTGTAGTCATTAGGGAACATGCGTATCTTTTAGTGGAAGTGCAGTTCTGTGAAGTTTCAGTGTAACGTTTTTTTCAACCAATGACCGCCTGTATGTAAGAGAACGTAGCTTTTCCTTGCATTGTAAGACTGACGTTGTGATGATTGTGTGACCGTCTACATGATTGTGTGACCGTCTACATGGCCGTGTGTGATCGTTTACATGATTGTGTGTGACCGTCTACATGATTCTGTGTGACCGTGTGCATGATTGCGTGACCGTCTACATGATTGTGTGTGGCCGTTGACATGATTGTGTGACCGTCTACATGATTGTGTGTGACCGTCTACATGGTCGTGTGTGATCGTTTACATTATTGTGTGTGACCGTCTACATGATTCTGTGTGACCGTCTACATGATTGCGTGACCGTCTACATGATTGTGTGTGGCCGTTGACATGATTGTGTGACCGACTACATGATTGTGTGTGACCGTCTACATGATTGTGTGTGACCGTGTGCATAATTGTGTGACCGTCTACGTGATTATATGTGATCGTTTTCATGATTGTGTGACCGTCAACATGGCCCTATGTGACAATCAGCATGCTCGTGTGTGACCGCCTTTTTGGCCATATGACCGTCTCCATGGTCGTTTGGACGATGTGTATGATGATTAATCAACTCATAGGTAGATATATGTCCCTCAACGATCATACTGAAAATACCACAAAGTTGATTGTTTAATGTCATCAATGGTTTCAATTTTATATTGCTTGTTCCATACCAAACACACATACTGACACGTATTGCATCCTAACCGAGGACCATGATAGAGAGTGGAGTCTGAAGCTCCGAGACGGATGCATCGTCGTCGGGGAACTAATCACACTGAGAGCTAATTAAGAATAATGGATGTCCACTCGTGTTCAGTCTGACTGCGTGGATCTGAACCTATTAAGACCCTATATCACAGCCTAATTCATGTCCATACTCTCAGCGATATTTCGCTGTTGCTGATTTGTCTGCAATTCGCAACAGCGTGTATCCTGCTTTAGAAGGATATTCATATTCATCATTGTGGAGTGCCCACTAGTCTACGGCGCTGCAGTTTGATGTGTAGTGTCACGTACCATATCTGTACCAGGATCCGCTGAAAGTGTGTTTGAATCCAAAATTCGTCCTGATATTGAACCTTGGTGGCAGTGGTTAAACGAATGGTGCATTTCAACGACCTGTGTCACGTTTGGCTTTCCGCCCACACCGAGGGAATAGAACTAGGACTGGTCGCATCGGTGTCAGTATAATGTGTCTGAGTGGGGTATCCATGTTTAAGAGTGGGGTGTTATCTCAGTAGCCATTAGTTCGGACTTGTCTACACACGCACGCACGCACGCACGCACGCACGCACGCACGCACGCACACGCACGCACACACACACATACAAACAAACAAAACAAATGCATGTGCGTCGTTATTACAGTGCAATTTTCTTGAACGCGAAGTTAAACCCTTGTCACCTCACCTCACTATATTATATTGACAATCTATGTTAACCTATGTCAACATAATAACATACAGTCATCTCTATCTGACCGTACCCGAGTCGCGTCATTCCAAAAGACGTTAAAAGAGGGTATCCTGCCTGACGCTCGGCATTAAGGAGCTAAAACTAGGACTGGTCGGCTCGGAGTCGGTATACTGTGTCTGAGTGGGATATTCAAGTTAAACTGCGGCATGGTATACCAGTGGGCTAGCACTAAAAATTGGCATTAGTCCGAACTAGTACAAGGTGACACACACACACACACACCCACCCACACCCACACACACACACACACACACACACACACACACACACACACACACACACACACACACACACACACTCACTCACACACACACTCACTCACTCACCCACTCACTCTCTCTCACACACACACACACACACACACACACACACACACACGTGCATGTATAAGTTCGATAATTTCACACTTAACATGAGCCATAAAAAGTTGCAATAAGACTTCTGCTAATTCAGCAAATATTCCTCCTCGAAGTACTTGGATATACAGTCGGACCCCGTTCAACGAGACAATGTTGCCACTTTAAGATATCCGGACATTCGAGATAGCGAGGCAGCCAGACATATCAAGTATGTCGAGTTATCCGTAGTTCTATACAAACGGAGTCCCGATAGCAGACAACAATTCTGAGACAGTACAACCCTCTTAGAACATAAAAGATGACAAAGCTCGAGTTGTGGTTCTACGTTCGGATATGACGAAGTTCTCGTGTTCCTTGGACTTCGTCATATGTATTCGACGGTACATCAAACAGACACACAAGAAAACAAAAGTTCTGTCGAAAATAAGTGATTTATTTCCTCATAACAAGAACAATAGCAACATGCATCTCCCACTGGTCAGTCGGTATCACGTGGTATAAGCTACATAAGTTCTAGATTATAAACATGTACTAACCAGTGTACAGGTCCTTTCATCTATTTTCTGTTATTCATCTCCTTGGAACACCATGCCTATTAATGGATTTCATGTCTAAATGGAGTCGGTAGCTGAAGCCCCTAATTAACTATGAACAATGCAAAAGGTAGAAACACTTCCAACAGTCAAAATACCCATTGTTATTTCTGTACAAGCAGTGAATGTTTACTTTGATTTCATTGAAACCGCTTCACAATGTATATACACTTAATAATAAATAAATACAAATGATAGCACCAGAGTTGTCAAGCGACAAAGTGTGGTCGTAGCTACATAACGGTGTCATGTCGAAATGACGATGTCACGTGACCCACCACCTTATCACGTGATATCCCATTACCCAATGAAATTGGACAAAGTTCAGTAAGCGTGGAAGTTAGAATAATGACTATTTGTACTGGCAAGATACGGCGTCATCTGACAAGACCAATTGTAAAACAAAATGTTTGACCCGTGTAAGGTAAGCTTGTGTCTTTAAAGCCTTACTCGAGTTGAGATAGCAGAACCTTGCGTAGATGGTTTGCTGACATCGACGTGTCCATACCGTGTGTATTTTGTCGAAGCATTTTGTGGAAGAAGGGTCATAGTGAGTCAGCAAGGTCACTGCTTCCGGTATGTCACTATGGCAACAAGAACAAAACGTCACACGTCAAACGGCGACATTGTTGGTTTAATCGTCACGTAAACGATAATGCCTCCAATTGTCCACATGTGTTAGGAGACACATATGTGCTTTCCATTGGTTTTATGTTCCTCTGCATAATGTAGAATACCACCTCGTCATGAAAACGTTATTGATAGAAAAGCAAAACACAAACGATGAAGACATGTTTTTGGTCCCTTTTCTTTTGTGAGCCCGACGATAGGGTTGAATTCGCTTGTAGATGACGAGGTCACGGGTCCAGCGGGTGGCAAAGCGATGACGACACCAACTGCAGATATGTGTCTACTTAATATATGCACATACTGGTTGATCTGTTTTCTCTAAAGTAAGGTCCTTCGGGGTCTTAACTTAAAAAGTCTACATCTCACACGTTCGTAAGAACCGCTTTATGGTTATTTCAAAGGTACCCGGTAACACCGTACATCCATTGTTTGTTTATACAGTTTACACAATAAAATACATATTTTAATTATCATACCAGCTATGTACTGCCTTTGTCAAAATGTTGTTCTCAAAACAAATTAAATTCATTTTAAACCCCATGCAAAATAATCAAAGACCGTATATCATATATAAACAACTGCCTTTTCAGAAGGTCCCTACATTTTGTATTGAATAATTGGACATATTTCTGTTTCTCTGAGTTCTAAGGTTCGGAATTGGGTTGAGGCCTGCCAGGTATCGTTGTAGCCGATCACACTTGATGGTGTCACCGACATGAGAAAAGTGTGATGGTGGCAAACATCAAACATATTTGCCCTTCGCTGTAAGTGTCTTCATAGAAACTCTTGTTTGCATTTGCCAGTAGACTTGGTGTGAAATCTATTTCCATGGCTTGCACAGTCGTGAGACAACTCGCAGTTTGTCTCATTGTTTCAATTTGCGGAGGGCCTAAGCACACATCCCTACCTGGCTACTGATAGAGACAGGCGCCATCCAGACCAGATCCCTGTTGCGTATGCCCTGTGTTGGACCTCCCCACGGTCAACACATGCTCCAACCTTGTCAACATACGACACCATCGTCAACACAACACAGCGTTCCTTATGACACATCATGACGACAGGACGTGACAGCGGTCAATAACTAGACGCATAACCATTCCACATGTGTCACGTCCAGCCGAAGTCCTGTTTCACCATCTGATAAAACTTCAGATTAAAAGGACGGTAAAAGTCTCGCAGTCTTTTCACGACATCTGGGTCGACGTGAGGGTGACGACGGCCCTTAGTTTTACCTAAGCAGTGTGGCCTTCCACTTCCTTCGGGCTTTTTCAGACATGGAAATCCCCGGGTCTGGTTGAGGTAGAAATGCTTGTCAGTAATTATCCGTTTTAGGCCAAGGAAATCCTGAACTTTAGCCATCTCTCCTGCGGGGTCAGATATCAGGTTTTCACCGCTGACGAAATGCATTTGTTCCAAAGGGAAATACCTCAACCAACGTTCCACATGTTTGGCATAGACGCCAATTCTCACAGCGCCCCACTTGGTGTCTACAAGGCGGGTTGTGTTGTCTATGAACGCCATTTGTTCAAAAGGTTTTAAATAAGGCCTTTTTGTGAAGGACTGGGTGTAGTCGGATATTGCACGAGTCACCGGGTCCCTAACCACTACAATCAGTTTCACGTTCTTGGACATGTTGAAGACCTTCTTCGGAACTTCCCGGGTGACGAAGTAGCTCGGGGTCTTCTCCATGGTCACCTGGCCCGGAAGTGTAGTCGGCATCTGTCGCCTGCAGAGAGAAGAGACATTGTTAGATGAACCAGGAATATTCATAAGATTCTACACAAATGGTTGCATTGTTATGTTGAGAACATTACGTGAGTCACAGCGGGGCGAATCTGGGATTCGAATTCACGACCAACGGATCCTGACAAAAAGAGTGTGAGTGAGTGAGTGAGTTGGGTTTAACGCCGCTTTGAACATTATTCAAGTTATATCACGGCGTGTCAGCTTAATGGTGGAGGAAAGCCCGAAGTGATGCAGGTCTCAGACGTTTACCACTTCGGTGAAACCCACGAGCACGGGTATGGTGCTGACACACCTAGAAACATAATTGGGGCGAACCGGGATTCGAACCCACAATCATAGGTTTCTGGCGTGCCCAAGGGATGCAACTCTGCACAGCGAATCGCGGCGCCTTAGACGACTGGGCCACCCGTGCCCCCTCCTGACAAAAAGAATTACTGAGCCAAGACCACTAAGTCATACCAGTTTCACGATAATCCATAAGACATGAGGTATGTTTGTTAAACTTTCTTCTCTAACGCCGCTCTCAGTTATATTCCAGCAATCAAGTCTGGGCCAGATAATCCAGTGACTGACATCATGAGCATCGATCTACGCATGATCCGGAGCAGATTAAGAAATCTCACGGGGAAAGATGATTATTCCCAAAGGTGTTGACAATTAAAAACAAAATATATGCAATGGGTTTTCTGATGTCACGTTTCTTTTGTGAAACTGGTATCTTTCGATCGGCCCGTTTCTACCCTATAGTTTACGAGACGACTTTGTGTGAGCTTCTATAATAGCTACATATGTTTTGCTAGAAGAAAAAAATTGATTGTGTAATTTCACAAATTCATAACGAAAGATGGATTGCAAATGTCACTGTCTGGCAGAATTGGGCCAGTACGATAATTTATTTATGATTTCATTGTCACTCACGTCTCATCCGTCAGCAACTTGCACACATAAACCTCAACGGATAGAAATATACTTATCATAATGCACATAAACATCGTGAACTTTCCGCAAACGCATTCATCAAAAGTCTGACAGGGGCTATGCAAAGGGATTAGAGCATAGGCTGCTGTGGGCGAAATGAAACACCGCCAGGCTTCGGTTTCGTTGCTTCGAATAACAGCTTGATGTGAACTGGTGGTATGTTATATCCACGACCATATTATTACCCAGCATTCAACGAGCGCAGGAAGGGGAAAGTCATCTCAAGTAAAGGCATTCTTAAACCCTTCTTAGTAACTAACGTCCACTTAGCAAACTTCGGACAAAACAAACCGATTATAACACACACACACACACATACACACATACACACACACACACACACACACACACACACACACACACACACACACACACACACACACACACACACACACACACACACACACACACACACACACATATATAAACTATAGTAATACATAAGGATCGGATGTTCTTTAAAGTCTTCTGTGTAGTATGGATCATTTAAGACGAAATACTTTTATTCACCAGGTAGAATCTTTATTGGCATTACGGTGTACTATCGAAATACGGATAACTCGAATATTCGATAGTCCCAAGGACTAGCTTCATCTATTTGTAACTGGTCATCTCACCTGTATAACATATGCAGTCGTGCTTCCTAGTATCGATATATTACCCTTCATTTGGCGTCCTGTCGTGAAAATATCTACTTTGTCTAGTTTATCAACTCCCTTGATGACATAGATTATCCTCTATACCAAATTAACTTAATATCGTTGGCTTCCATTTGCAATGCACAAAGTTAGCAAGAGAATGAATATCAAACAAAGCTTCACACAGAATAGGCATGTACCAGTGCGACACTGGATTTCCGAATTGAAAGAGCCATTATGTAATTGACTACATCGTTCCTGGCTCGCTATACATTCATTAATCATTTACAGTCAGACAACATCTAACACACAGAGAATGAAATTCACAAAAGTACCGCCTAGCCAATCAAAGAGTAAACATTTCGATTCGTAAAGGGCAATATTGATACGCTGATGAAATCGCCAATAAAGTGATTCTCATTAATCCTCTCCGGCGTCGAGAAGACTCGCTCCTGTCGCCTGTGGGAAGGCCAACTTCTCCCAGCTCACGTAATGAGTTCGTGGTGACCTTCCTCTGCCTCAGCTATTGTTTACGTGATGTCGGGGCTGATGGTCGCGGAAACATTGTATCACAGCCACATCTACATCATATTAAATTGTACTTTAATCTTCCCGTTAGTTTATTCCGTGCTTTCCTTTCCGAACAACTGTTGTATGTTTAGGGAAATCCGCGTGTGTAGATGTACGGAGATCTGTTTCATGTACTGTGGACGTGCGTTTCATGTTTCATGCACTGTTGACGTGCGTTTCATGTTTCATGTACTGTTGACGTGCGTTTCATGTTTCATGTACTGTTGACGTGCGTTTCATGTTTCATTTACTTTGGACGTGCGTTTCATGTTTTATGTACTTTGGACGTGCGTTTCATGTTTCATGTACTTTGGACGTGCGTTTCATGTTTCATGTATTGTTGACGTGCGTTTCATGTTTCATGTACTGTTGACGTGCGTTTCATGTTTCATAAACTGTTGAAGTGCGTTTCATGTTTCATGTACTGTTGACGTGCGTTTCATGTTTCATGTACTGTTGACGCGCGTTTCATGTTTCATGTACTGTTGACGTGCGTTTCATGTTTCATGTACGGTTGACGTGCGTTTCATGTTTCATGTACTGTTGACGTGCGTCTACAACTACTATTAAAGAGGTCTGGGCAGGTCTCTTACCCAGTAAAATTGACGAATTGTAAGTACAGTAAACTACGGTTAAAGCGAACACGCTTACAACGAACTGACGGTTATAACGAACTTACTTTTTTGGTCCCGACTATTTGCTGTAGTTATGCTGTATATATGCTTATAACGAACTTCGGTTATAACGAACTAAAATAAGTAGTCCCTTTGAGTTCGTTATAACCGTAGTTTACAGTATTGGAAGACTTTAAGACTTTGTTTAGGAGTAGAATGATATGTTCGTTTCTCGATACTTTCGTTTACATTTAAAACGTACATATTGAAGGACATCATTACAACCAAAATGCCCCACATCATACCTTGCCCTTTGCTAGGAAGAGGAAGAGTTGTTTTATCCCCAGGTTTTAGTGCTATTCCAGCACTATTCAAGAAATATTCGAATATTATCCAAATTTGTTTGTTTGTTTGTTGTTTAACGCCGCACTGAGCAATATTCCAGCTATATGACGGCGGTAATATGTCAGAAGTATGCCAGTTAAGTTCCAACAATATCCAAGGAATATGCCAACAATATTCAGCTAATCAAGAAATATTCCAACATTATCCAAGTTTGTTTGTTTGTTGTTTAACGCCGCACTGAGCAATATTCCAGCTATATGACGGCGGTAATATGTCAGAAGTATGCCAGTAAAGTTCCACAATATCCAAGGAATATGCCCACAATATTCAGCAATATTCCAGAAATATTTAATTATTTATTCTAACAATAATCCGGTAATATTCCAGAAATAATCCAACAAAATCCCAGCAATATTCCTGCAATATCCCAAAGGGTTGTGAGCGTTGTCATTACCCTAGAGTTCATCATGGATCTGAGATAAGCAGTTCCCCTGTGTCCCTTTGGAGGAAGTGGGAGTGTAATACGACCCCATACTACATATTGGTAACTGGCCTGACTGCACCAACACCATCATCTCATCAACGACTCCGCCTTTGATGTTGATGATGTGACGGCATGATTACATTGTCAGTATTCAACACAGCAATGGGGCCGGTTGAACAATACCAAATGGAGCGTGGTATGGTGTAGTATTTTCGCCTGTTGTTAGGGGTGTTGCCAGGCGTGTCACATGACCGACATGAGTGATTGAGCAAGGGTAGATCGAGAAAGGTTCTGCTAAACGTCCTCTAATTGGTGAAACGTTCGCACTAGACTAACACTTGGACAAGGAAAACATTTTTTTTTAATTTAATTGTTTGTTTTTTCTTCAAAAAAATCTTTCCTCTGCTGCTGTTTCCATGGGTTCATGTGGAATCAAGGGAACTAGACTTGGTTTAGTTTGATCTAGACTAGCCTTGGCTTTAAATGAATATATATATATATATACATACATATATATATATATATATATATATATATATATATATATATATATATATATATACTAAAAAGCCTAATTCCACATGTCATGGAGCAGGCGAGTGTTCCCTCCAACAGGAGGTAGCATGAAGTAAACTGCCAAAAGAAAGTATCCACTTAAAAGCTTGGATATGACCAAAATATTACAAACGTTATCGAAACGTTACCAGGATGACCTCTTGTAAGACACACAATGATATGATGCACATAACATCGCCTCTGATACCTGTATCAAACACATGATCATCGAATGTTTCAATTTTTTGCCACTATCAAACATGGGAGTATACTTTTTTGCCATGTAGTTCAGTACATATCTCACACGCATTTACGATATTTACAAGATAATGTCATTTAATTCATTTTTGGTGATGAAAACACCACATTTGAGCCTAAGCAGACAAAGCATAATGTTTGGATTTACTTTCAAATACATGTTTTGGACACGACCACAGGACTTTCTAGGTAAGACTGTCGCATCGACCAGCTGAGCTCGTTCCATCTAAGCGCCTAGGGGTAAAACTTTCTTTCGTAGAATCAATAATCTAAACCCCTACCAGGTGAGATGAACTGTCTCCGATTAAACGGCATTGTAACTTAAGACAAATTAATTCTATAACATCATTTGTACATTATAAGTGAGTGAGTCGGGTTTAGCGCCGCTGTATGTACATTATTAATCTGAGTATTACAATAATATCACCATTCGGATCGTATATTCAGGGGACTATCAAACACCAAGCCATTAGACAGGAGCAGAATCAACTACCTGTATAGCACGGCTGTGTACAAACATCCCCAAGCTAAGGGAGAC